GAATATATAAAAAAAAGAAAATCTCAAAAAAAAATATTAGTAAATATATACGTGACACCCTAATATACAAATGACGTAATAAGTCTTAATGAATGAAATACAATACATTACAATTGTAATATTTGTTGTTTCTTTGTTCTACTTTTCGAGAACGTAAAAAGAGATCAATGAATGAATCAAACAATTGCTTGTGTGATAAGTAGATGCAAAAAAAAAAAAACTCAAAATAAAGAAACAAAAATCACTCAAAGTACTCACCAACTCCGTTTTACGCTGAACTTGTTGGAGGCCTCGAAGAAGTTCGTCGTTGCGGTGTTATTCGTTGTGTTGTTGTTATTATATATGAAATTCAATTGATGATAATGATCATAGTAATGTTTTCTCTACCTCATTCACAAATTTGTTTGTTCTTCTTCATTCATTAATATGTCATTACGTGCGTATGTTTGATTATAACAGGGTGAACCTAAATCATGTCTATAAATTCAGAAACAAAATATTACTTACACTAAAAAAATATATATAAAAGTGTGAATGTAAATTTAACAATTTACATAATACTTATCTAATTTTTATAAAGTTTTTGTAAACGAAAATGAATGGTCTTAGATTGGTCTTATTGGTGGATTGGTTTTTAGTGACCAAATGGTGGTTTGTCCGGTAGAGGATTAATATGATGATTCTATGTTTGATGGATTTTTTGCGAGATCGAGATGTTATCTAACTGGAACACTATTATTGTCTGGAGGTTGGTTGTGCTGGATTCAACAGTGGCTGTAAATCAATGGATCCCTTCTATAATGTATTGGTTTTCTTATGATGAATTTTTGTGGTTATTTGGCAATCTAGCTGGAGAAGTATTTTGTTGGGAATTTGGTTGGATGTACCAAGCGATTGCAGTGGATGCTGAAGATTTCGTAGTGGCAATGGTGTTGTGATGAACGATTTTAATGTTAGGGCTTCAAATTTGTAGTGTTATTTTCCACATTAGGTTACTAAATGTTGGATTTTGTTCATTACACATGATGTGGGGGATAATTGGTTGAAGATGGTATTAAAATTCACTGCTTATACTTGACATCGCACATGTTGGCCCCCGACATAACCAAACAAAATTCGTCTTCACAGTTTGAGCCACGTGAAGAAAGATGTCGGGGTTATTCCTTTCTTAATTATAGTTGCTTGTTCACTATACACCACTTTTATTGAATTTTTCCAACTGAATAGGCTGAATTTCAATGATTATACAATTTTTTTAAGAAATTGTATTCTTTTGCCTAGGAAAAATACACGATATTTTATAAAAACGCCACTAAAACACTTCAATAATATATTTTATTACCTTGGCAAATTTAGGTTTATTTGCAAATATTTCCTTATCCAGAATATGGAATTTGCCAATTTCTTTTTTTTTTAATTAACAAAATTATTTATCAACTTTTATTCAAAATACTTTAACTTTCCAATTTATGTCTTTGTGTTCTGTTCTTCTTGAAAGGCGAGTAGTAAAAGGCCTGTTGCAAATTCTCTTTTCTATACGAAAGCTCTGTACTAAAATTATAGTTGTAAAGTAAGGGAATTGTAATTGTCGATAGAGTTGCTTTTGATCTAAGGCAAATAACGAAAGTACGTGTTTAGCGTTGCCACTTAGTTTTAATCGATTAATGCGATGAGTAATTTTGGTCGAATCGAATATTACAAATTTCAGCACTGGGTTTCCTCGCTTAGTTTTCTTAATATGGGTCTCACCAAGGTGCAATTAATTACTACATCCGTCGTTGTTGGACGTTAGCCTTGGCCCAACGTGACAGCGTCGATAATGGTGGCCGATAACATACCAGAAATCAACTTTGATACCTTTGATTATCCAGTTCCGTCAAAATTGTATTAATTACGAGAAGCCACGCATCGGCGAGAGTTCTCCGCCTTGAAGACTGCCTCTAGTTACTTATTTCTTGATTTTTGTCTCCCCAATATTTAAATTTATAATTTAACTTTATATGCCTATGCCAAAAAAGTGGAACTATATTGACAATTTTTTGCAAATAAGTTTTTTTTTATCCATTCCAACACGGAATGAAAACTACCACCTTTGGTTTGATAATGAACCCCATAATAATGATGTCATCCCATATCCGTTATTTTGAAGAACCTACCGCATTTTCCAATAAAATGTTTTACAATTTTACTAGCCCCATATCCATTTAAATAATATTGATGGTCCTTGTCATATATTCCTACGCCAGTTGTTGTTGTAGCAGCTTATACTGCTGTGTATTTCTCTTTAATCATAATCTGGTTCTGATTCTAACCCAAGTTCGAAAAGGCTACGATCTGTATCGGTTGTGTCCAAAGTAAAGATATGGTTAGCTGAGTAGGTTTGGCAGGACAGTTGAAGAGGTGTAGCGTGTCATGTCGACCATTATCACATGCTGAACAGATATTGTTCACCGTGCCGTCAATTCGTGCCCAGTATAAAATAAGTTGACCACACCATATTGATCTTAGTTGTGCCAAACCTACTCTGGTTCATTGTGGTAGCTGCTGCTATCGTAGGCGTATGATCTCCGAGGATGGTTTTCACTCTATATTCTTAAATTGCTTCCTCAACTACCGTGTGAATATGATTCAATCCTGCTTGATAGGTCTGTTGATCTAAAGGTTCCCTTTTGTTATTTTGGGCCGCTTTCTCCAACTAATTAAGATCCTTCCTGACATGCCTTGCTAGTGGGTGCATTCCATAAAGTCATGATTTAGATGGCTACTTCTATAACCCTCAAACGACAACATATTGTTGTTGTTGACGCACATAAACGATCTTCGTCTCCAATTTTCGTCGGGTAAAAAATAACAATATAGTATATTTTGGCATAGCTTTCATATTAAGGTCCCAATCAAATTTAAGTAATTTTATTCTCAGTTTTTGTCATAGGTCTACGATTTAGAATGACCCATTTTCGGTATTTTGAAGGATTCAGGGGCATAGATATTCCATATTGTGCGAGGATGGGAAGAATGATTAAAATACACTTGTTCTTACGAATGCTCACGGGCGAGAATTCGAATGTTTCCAATTTATCGTGAATGATAAAGTTACAATGAATGCACAAGCATTTGCATTCTCTCGCGAATTTTCGCATTGTACGAAAAATTCACGAACGATAAAATTTCGCTGCAAGCGTCGTCGATTCATTCTTTGCGGTGAATATTCTTTTGAAATACACTGTTAAAAACAACAACACAAACAAACAATGAAAGAATGTGTCAAAGACATAGAAACCGTAAAGACTCGACAAAATGCATTTTGACAAAATAGTTTATGAAAAAATATCCAGGGGGAATCAGGCATAACAGAGGCATGTTAACAATAAAAACGCAAATACGCGATAATGTGTGTATAAAATGTAATTAAAATCAGAGATCTGCACTCAAAAAATATTTTTTTATTTAATAAACTTAAGATATAGCATTAACAACGTTTAATATTGTTCTCTCTGTTATGATATCGTAACAACAGAGGAAAAGCCATCTATTGGAAATTGTTTACGTATCGATTGTCCTATATTTATACTTTTATGTCTTTGAATGTGTGTGGAACAGCGGTCGGCAACAAATACATATGCTTGTTTGGTACACAGTCTCAAAGTGTGTGAGATTAACTCTTGCTCTCTCGAAAAACGTCGTCTGCAATAATACAAAATCATGTAAACAAGCGATAACACAACCGCCTCCATCAACAACTGAAACGAGACTGATCGGTGGTTGTTTTCTCTCACGAACGTTTGCTGTTATTGTTGTTGCGGTTTTTAGCATTCTCGAGAATTCGGGAATGTTTGATTTCATTCGTCAGAGAATGTCAGAAAGAATTTCAACCACCAAACGAAACGAACGAACGTTGTTGTGCGCTCTCACTCGTTTTTTATGTGTGTGCGAACATTCTTTGGCGAATGATCGTTTGGTAAAGAATTTATCGCCATAAATTCATTCTTAAAATGAGCACAAAATGAAAAGAATGTATTTTGAATCATACGCGAGCGAATTTTTGCGCACCCTGTGAAAAACTCCATAAAAATCATAGGTGCCCAAAATTAAAATGCGTTAGTATGTGTGAGAGAAAACAGAACAGTACTGAACAAAATTGTGTGTGCATTTTTGTGGTCGGAAAAAATTATTGATGAATTCAATTTTTGTTATTATATAAAATAAAAGCATTATTAAAAATGTTTTTATATGAATTACAAAGTGTGTATGTTATAAAAATCTAATAAAGTTTATAAAGTAGCATATACCGAGATAATAATCATATTATAATATTAAATAATAATATTAAATACTACGATAATTATCAGATATTTAATTCTTTAAAAAAACAGAAATTGTTCTGTTGTTTTTAAAATTTTTTAAACATAAAAAACGCATTTTGAATAATAAAATAAAAATCCAAATATACTGAAACACTTTTATCCCTAAGTGTTATTTCGTTGATTTTCTAGTTCTGCGGACACGACCTCGTGCGCGCACCCCAGTATGTGTTCATTCGTTGCCTGTCAAACAACGACTGACTGAAAGAGCATAACAATGCGTGTGAGTAGGCAGCTACTTTAAAGTATACTGATGGGCACCTATGATAAAAATAGAGATCCATGTTATGTCATGTACTCCATATAAAGGTCCAAAGTGTGCATCCATGGATATAACCATTATTTTTTATTTAGGAACAACTCTGCGGAGACTTTTATTAAAATGCGGTGCCATTTTTGTTAAAGGGCGTATTTTTCTAAAACATGACACGTAGAGGAGTTGTAATTTTGTGACCAGGGTATTTTTATCTATATATATAATTTTAACATAACCCCGGTATTGAGTAGTTGTTATAAGGTTATATTATAAATCCTTAAATTACCCAAATTGGTGTAGGGTATCATGTATCCTTAACTTACTAATCCGTTAATCCCTTCCATACTGTTTATAGTTGTAAATATGTCTTTTTATTTTTTCAGATAACTGCTACAGTTTTGTCTTTGGTTATGGACTTTTTGCGAGCTCTATTTGTCCGTTATGTGAATCGTAACTGGTGTTGGGACATGGAAAAAACATTTCCTCAGGTATGCACAATTACGATTATACAACGGCATCGGCATTACAGATACATAACAATATTATTGCTTTCCTATACCCTTTATAGTATGGCGACTTTAAAATAGCCGAAAATATTTTGGGTCTAATAAATAATCAAGGTCAAGTGTGGATGGGTATATTCTTTTCACCTGGTCTGGTGATAATAAATCTTGTCAAATTGGTGATTATGATGTACTTTAGATCATGGATTGTTCTAACCTGCAATGTACCGCACGAGGTTGTATTTAAGTAAGTCAAAGGAACGAACCCAATTAATATTTTCATCCCGATTGAAATTATTACAATTTCCAAAAATATTATTTTCATTTGTCTATTTTCAGGGCATCCAAATCAAACAATTTCTATCTATCTCTACTGCTAACAATGTTATTCCTTTGCGTACTGCCAGTGGCCTATGCCATTGTCTGGTTGCGTCCTTCGTGGCATTGTGGTCCCTATTCAGCCTATAATACCACATCGGAATATATTACAACAATAACATTAAATGCACTGCCAGAGTGAGTTGTTGGTGTTAGACTTGAGATTCGAATTCAAAATAATAATTTTCAAATCCTCACAGAGATTTACACAAACCACTTCGTTATATGGCATCGGCAAGTACTGTCATCCCTCTGCTGCTGCTATTGATTTTAATAATTTATTATTTGGTCTCGCTGACGGGTGCCTTGCGTGAAGCCAATCAAGATTTGAAAACCCAATTACAAAAGGAACGTGAAGAGGAACGTAAGAAAATTTTCCAGGTACCGGAAATTAAACCGGCTGAGAATAGTACCACAACTATGAGCAACAGATGGCGTAAAGTTTTGGAAGCCTCTTCACCGGTTTCACCCACGACACAGCCTGACTTTGAAAGTGAGGAATATAAGAATCAGGCGAGAAAAGGTAATTTAAAATGTTTTTATATATATATAAGTCGGAGCTTTTGTGGAAAGTATGTCATCGTCAGGGTTTTGATGATGTGATTAAATGACGGAACTTTTGTTTAAGATCTATATAAAAGCATGGACCCATATTGAAACTTTTCTGAGAAGATTTTTTTTATTCTCCAGGAATCCGGAAAACCAATAACAGCCTAAAATGTGAGGTATCTTCTTGTAACAAGGACCTATATCGAATATTTTTTGCAAAGCCATTCATTGCTTGTAAAGTTAGCTACATGAAGAATTAACAGTTGGGCGCCATTTAGTTTTTACACCAATTAGGAAGATTTTTAGATATGTGAGATAAAATTTGGGGAGGATAAGACATTGAGGAAGTCTTATCTTTAAATATAAATAAAAATTGTCAGCCATGATATTTTTAAGTTGGGAGACACATATAATTTGTTATTTTGCTTGGAAATGTTGGGTTTCAAACAGGTATTTTCAGTATGCCATAAAAACACATTGGATGGCAGAGTTCAATCGAGAAATCCCTTAGAATATGTTTACTCTTTGAAGTCCAATAAGATTTCAAATTTTATCGAAGATCTGAGACTTCACATTTTCTAAAGATAGATATAAGACGAATCAACAGCAGGGCGTCATTTATGTTTTACAGCAATTTGGAAGATTTATTGATATGTGAGATTAAGAGAGCAGAAGACATTGAGGAGGGATATAATTTTTCTGATTTTATTTAGCTTGAAAATTTCGGGTTTCGAACATATTTGTCAAGGATGTACAGCAAATTCTGAGTGGTCTATATTACGGAATAAGTTGGGCGCCATTTATCATTTTCAGCTATTTGATATTGAAAAATGGATTTTATATGGTGATTCTCGGATTAGACAATACAAGACAGCTCATATCTAAGGTTAGGCCCTTGGTGTTTCAATCAGAATTTTCAAGGAGTTACCGCAAACTCTGAGTGAATTCCAAAATCCTGAGTGTAATTAACTACGGAAAAATTGTATGTTCGGCGCAATTTACCATTTTTGCTATTTGAGATTGATAAACATATTTTATATGGTGATTCTGGGCTTAGACACCCTTGGCATTGGGTTTTATCAAATATGATTTCATGCTGAAACGTTGTAAAAAAAATAATTAGCATTTTAGATCAACTGGGACCCATTTTTTACATTTTAAGGCAATTGTTTTATTTTTAATTGTTTAACTCGAGGTCTTTGTATCATAAAGAACCTATTTTGGGCGCCAATTGAGAGCTCTTTTGCTAAGGTTAGACCCATGAAACTGGGTGTGCTATCAAATGTGATGGTCTCCTAAAAAGTAATTGACTGAGATCTTAAAAGTACTCAAATGCCCCTATACGCAAAGACCTGGTAAATGACCTATTTTCGGCGCAGTACCTGAAAATCATAGAAGCGATTCTAAAATTTAATTGAACGTTTAGACATATTTTTGGACCTCAAACAGTTTGTTTGAATTATGAATTAACATGTATTGGGCGCCATTTTTAAATGATTTTAAGTATTTTCAAATATATTAGAAGGTCATTGTTGGTTCAGCCAAAAAAATGTATAAGCGTTTATAGATGTTTTACGTGTTATTTAGAACCCAAATTGGGCACCAGTGGTATTATATAGTAAATTGTAAGACTTGGGACTACCCTAAAAACTAGTAGGTGCTTAAGATTAAGTACTATAACCTAAATTTATATTTTATTGAGACTTGTGGTAATAATACCCTTATGTGGGACACTAAAAGAACCCGTGTTGGGCGCCACTGACTACCCTTAAAACTAATAGGTGCCTAAGATAAAGTACTATAACTTAAATTTACATTTTATTTATAATTGCGGCACTAATTCCTTTATTTTGGACACTAAAAGAACCCATGTTGGGCGCCACTGACGTTATTAAATGCATACAAGATAGATAATCTCAATTGAAACTTTAAAATACAAAAATATGGGGTCAATGTCAAAACATGAACTTATATTGTAAATAGGTCCATTTCAATTACCACAATTTTATTTTCTCTTTGCAGAATTGATTTCGCGCATCATGAAGAAAGCTTTACGCAAGGATTCCGCCACTTCGGATGAAGAAATCTTTGCTAGGCAGCATGGACGTGATGATGACACCGATACTGAACACCACGACTCTTTGCCACACGATGAAGATGGCAACGAACGACGACCAGGGTTATCAAAACTACAGGAAATACGAAGAACCCGTAAACCTTCACTAGTGGATATTGTACAAATTGCAAATAGCGAACGAGAGCGGGTCAGATCGCTAAGGAAGCAAGCAATGGGTAATGGTGGTAGGGGCAAAAGTAGAAACGAGAAAAACGAAAAGAAATCGGAAGACAACGAACAGGATAATAACAATAAGGAGAAACAAGCAATGGATAATGGGAACGATCCGGAAATTAAAACGAGAATCATAAATGAGAGACGCCAAAGTTTATTGCGTAAAAAGAAAGAAGATGAGGCGAATGGCCGGAATAGAGGTAAACTTAAGGAACATGGCGAAAATCATCATCAAAATGAAGATGACCTAAATGACAACAAGGTGAAAGAGAAAATTGGAGATCATGAAGAACATAACGAAAAAGTCAGACGCAAGAGGAAAGATGAGGACAAGAATGGTAAAGAATGTCACAAAATTAAAGAAAAGTCGAATGGAGATAACAACAAAGATCAAAAGAAGCATAAGAAGAAAGACGACACAGACAATGTCAAAGAAAAGGACAGTGATAGCAACAGCGATGAAAAGAAACATAAAATACACGAAGACGAATCAACAACTAAAGAAAACGTTAATGATATGAACAAAGAAAAGAAAAGGAAAAATGGTAAAGACAAAGATTACCAGCAGCAAGAAGAAGATAAAGATAGACAAGAATCACCAAAAGAAAACGGGAAAGGAAAACACAAGGGAAACGGCAAAGAAAAACAAAAAACCAAAGAGAAAGATAAACGTTCCGAAAATGAGAAAAACTCGGATGAACATGAAATAGAATATCCAAAGGACAAAGGAAATTCAACAAATTATACCAAAGACCTAGACAAAGACGAGGATACAACTGGCGAAAAAGAACACCTAAAAGTCAATGCTCTTATAATTCCAGAAAAAGAGGCCGACAAGGAAAGAGAAAAAGACAAAACTAAAGAAATAAAACAACGGATCTACGAAAGCTTTAGACGTAAGAAACGCGAAGGCAAAGATAAAAATGCCGCCTCTAAACAAAGTTCGCTTGAGAAAACCAGCGAGGAAGACATCAAAGAGGATGCGGAACCGACAAAAGACAATAAAAAAATATCACCACCCAAAAAAGAGAAAAAACTCAACTCACCACTCAACGATGAGGAACAATTGTCGTACAAAATCGTTGATGAAAAATCGCCCAAATTGCACGAGGACAAGCAGTCAACACCTCCAATGTTGGAACAATTACACAATCTTGGCGGGAAGCTAAAATTCAAACGTCACAAAGCAAAACCATCCACCGAACCAGAAGTATTTAAATTTGACACAGAAAAGCTGAGCAAAGATGCAGATATTGCCACTACTCCAACGTGGCAACATTTGGAGGCAGAATTGCAATCACCACGTCCGATCGAAGATGTCACCACCACCGGCAATAAACATCACTTGGGATCGGAAAAGTTTGCCAATCTCTCAAGGCAAAGTCGTAAAAAAATTGGATCATTTTTGACTCTAATGAAGGATGCAGTCAGCCGCCCAGACACTGAACAACATTCCGATACCGCCATTGAGATACCATCGACACCACAACTTGAAGTTTCATCGGCTATTAATCAGGCCATCATGCTTCCAGTAGCTATGCACACTGCAGAACCCACAACGAATATTCCAGCTGTCAGCAGCTCTGAATTAAGCACACCTATAAATCCCTCCACCGCCACCATTGACAGTATTCAACCCTATATAATGCCACGAGCACCCCTTGAAATGCCCGAAGATATTGATCCACCAAGCTATAATAATCTAATGATGTCTGGCAGTGAAACGCACATTATCTCCGCTAGAGATCCTGAAGAATTAGATAAACCTGGACCCATAATATTCCAACAACGTGCCATATCTCAGCGTAGACAACCGATACGGCAAGATTCACAGTTGTCTAATTGGTCAGCCGAAAATATTCCAATAATTACCATAAGTACTACACCGGAGATTGAGGAACAACCTAAAACGCCAGAAGTGCCTACGACACCACGTGCCGAACCTAAAGTTAATGTCATTAAAATCAATATCGAACATGATATTTAAACGAAATTTTTAATCTTGAAAAAGCGGCAAATGCTTTATATTCTGAGATATTTTTTTCGAATGGAAAAAACACTTCTTCCCAGATTGTATACCGTTAATAGCAAATTAATTGAAATAAATTTGATTTAACAAAAAAAAAAAAACTAAAACGTATTTATGTGTGTTTTGTTGTCGTAGCGTATTTGATCCAATTTTTAAAATAGGTAAACCTCTGGTTTTGAATGATAACGACTGTTTTTAAAAGCTTATCGAAATGTTTGCAGTCCATGTTTCTGTGCCAAACATACAACCCTGACTAATTAAAATATGTCATGGTGACTAAAGTAATTTTTAATATAGTTCCAATGTACTATATCCAACATTTTTCTGGTTTCTCATAGGTTTTAGTTTGGTTTGACTAAGCCTAAGGGCTTAATTATTTTTATTATTCTGGCCTAATTATTTTTCTTGCATTTGACTAACATTAGATAATTTTCTGTAAATCACCTGCGCCATCTGTTGTTAGAATATAACAAAGCCCCTATACATTTCTTATAATTGTTTTACTATTTTTATATTGTTGGTTGATTCATCAGGTTTATGTCCATGCTAAATTATACTTTGCTATTTTCACGTTAATCCAATATATCACCCTGTTCAACAGGGTGTACTAGTGAAGTACGGTTATAACGCACTTGTAGGGGCCAAGCAAATTAGTTCGATACAGTGGAAGTTCGTTATATCCAAGGCAAGGATAAACGAAAGATTAGCGGGAAACGAAAGATTTACGGAGGACTTCGAAATTACACATAATTGGTTATGTATAAGGTTTATTTTTTATCAAAGAGGATTTAAATTTACAGTTAATTAAATTGGATATTTTATTCGTTTCAAATTAAATACAATATATGTTTATACGTACCAGAAGGATGAAATAGGTTACTCCATTCGAGAGTTATCGCACGCACCAGCAGACCAGACGGACGGACGGGCTTTTGTAAATCCATTTCAGAAATTTTTGATTTCATCCAAACTTTGCCTATCTTATTATTTATTCCAAACTTTGTTCAAGTTCGTAGATGAGAAATATCGGTCCACTCCTTCTGGTACGTCCCACACAGGGCCTAGGCCTAAATCCGGGCTATAGTTCATATATAGTACATTATCGAACCTTACGTTCTATTCTCCGCAGGTGAAATGATTACAACAGAGTCTTAGAACCAAACCCAAAACACAGAGCACATCAGATAACTATTTTAATATAAACAAGTAAAAAAGCGTTAAGTTCGGCCGGGCCGAACTTTGGATACCCTCCACCACAGAAATACTGACAAATTTTTGAAATGAAATCATAGGGAACATACATATAACGAAAATTCTTCCAATCGATTGTTGTAAACCAAATAGAAAATTCAGTAATTTCAATGGGGGTTTTCCTAAAATCTCAAAACCCTAAAATGTTGACATATATTATTACCGCATGGTACGATGAAACATGTGTATAGAATCCTGAAAATACTCCAATTTAGAGGGCAATATTATATATAAGGCATACTAAAACGGGACCAATATTGACAACATTGTGTAGGAATTAGCAACTACTTGGTGTTTTCATTAGATAAGGGGTTAGGCCTAATTAAGGGCCGATGTAGCTCAAGTTCCAAGCTAATAGTTTAGTTTGGAATCCCAATACCGTCCATCACGCTAAATATAAAACAGGTAGGATGTTTTATATTATCAAACCTCACGTTTTAGTTTTTATGTCGATATCATCCGAGAGAAAAATTATTACAAAATATGGCTAAATCGATTAATCGTTTTAGAATTTCATACTATGTGGGGTATGAACTGAAAATTTCGTCTACCGAATATCCCCCCTACTATGGTGGAATACAGCTATATGGGATAACCCCAATACACGGAAAACTATTTAAAATAAAACTATTTTAAAATAAAAAAGGGGTTTATAAGGGGACTACCCCTAAAAGGGGTGAATATTAATAATTTTTGGTAGGGAGATTTGTTACCATATACGACTACAAAATACCAAATTACAGCGAATTCGGTTGAAAACCGGGCTCAAGAACCCCAATATACCGAAAACTGGAGGGTACCCTTATATGGGGGCTACCCGAAAAAATTGACCTATATTTATAATTTTTAGTATAGAGATTTGCTACCCAATAAGAATTCGAAGTACCGAATTTCAGCGAATTCGGCGAAAAATGCGATCAAACCCCCAAAATACCGCAAAATTGGGGGTACCCCTATATAGGGGCTATCCGAAAATATGGACCCATATTTATAATTTTTAGTGGAGAGATTTGCTACCCAATAAAAAATCAACGTACCAAATTTCAGCGAATTCAGTTGAAAAACGCGCTCAAGAAACTCAAAATACCGAAAATTGGGGGTACCCTTAAATGAGAGCGTGGACCGATAAAGCCCATGTTCGAACTTGACCTACATGCAGACAAAAGACGACTTTATGCAGAATTTTGGCGATCTATCTCAATTCGTTTAGACGCTAGAGTGATTACAACAGACAGACGGACATGCTTTAATCGTCATAGAATTTTGCGCTGATCAAGAATATATATATACTTTATAGGGTCGGAAATGATTATTTCGATGCGTTACAAACGGAAAAACAAAACTAATATACCCTCCATACTATGGTGGAGGGTATAAAAGGAGGGTGACTCACTGTATATGTAGATAGTTATCAACATAAGGGGACCCCAACCATTCTCGGGGTCAAAAATTTTGTTGATATAATTCGAACCTACACTAATTAAAGAATGTTCCTACAAAATTTCAAATGAAAATCTCAAGAACTCTTGAAGATATAGCCGATTTATTGCATCAGCATCAAGTGACGGCTAAAGGGCTTCTCGAACTTAAAACGCGTTTTTCTCTAAACATTTTTTGTGAATAGCGGGCACGATAACTCAAACACTAATAACCCAATCGATTTCAAATTTTTTACACGTTTCTCTGTGAGTGTATAGCTATCGTATGAACTAGGATAAAGCCAATCGGTGAAGAATACACCAAAAGACTTGGATTTGTGCGAACACTATATCTGGTTCAACTCACGTGTTCAATTAGTTCTAAAAGTAAAATCCATATTTTTGACATTAGCCAATACCTTGAAACCCCATTGGGGGGGTCCCCCAGCTAAGGGGACCCCCCCATTCACGGGGTCAACCGTGATTCCAATCGATTCCAAATTTTTACACGTTTCTCTGTGAGTGTATAGCTATCGTATGAACTAGGATAAAGCCAATCGGTGAAGATCTTCCTTATTTTTTAACTTGGGTTTTGGTAAAAAATCGCCGATTTTCCAAAAATATGTTTTCAAAGGTCCACCATTTTGTTAATTTTAGAGCGAAGTCAATAATCCTAGTTCATACAAGAGCCAGACATGTACTCTTTCTAACGCCGTTGGAATTTTCGGATTTCGATGTTCCAGTGAGGAGTTATCATGCCCGCCATCAAAAATAAGGACTTTTCTTTAATTACAAAAAAAAACAACAAAAATTTTTTGTAAATTATTTTTCTTCTATTTTAAATCTTCAATTATATATGTGTAAAGTTACAAACCTTAACAAGCATTGGTATTGATTTACCAGCCCATTGAAAATCTTGAAAAATTAAAATCGAGAATGGGGGGGTTCCCTTAATTCTACGTTTGGGTAAAGACCTCATATAAAGGACCCAAACTATTTTCGGCATTTTGAAGCTTTTAGATGCATTTTCCGAATTTGACATTAAGTCGGTTATCATATGGCATTGCCGTCCAATCATTGACTTTTTTGATGTAATGCCCTCTTTTCAATTAATTGAGGATTCTCGGAAACCCAAATACGCCAATTTTGTCGTTAGCATAGGTCTAAATGCAAAATACGCCATAATGTACCGTAAGACATTCTTAAGTCCTGAGAACGACGAGGAATCGACACATTCGGATCCTCGGAACGAACGAAACGATTATGCTTTACAATATTGTTAACTGCTCCAGTCTCTTCAAATTTCTTCACAATTTTGCCAATTGCTTTGGTTTTTGGACGATTATATCAATCAGAATCTCTTAAGGCAGGATATGTAACCGTGGCAAAATCACATTTTTTGCAGTAGGTTTTAATAATTTGTATGCGATGCTAAATAGTTAAGCGATCCATTTTCGTCAATGTTACAATTTCAATCGAAAATAAACAAACTTCCTTAGACAGATATCGAATTTCAGTCCCATACATTTGAATCCACGGAAAGGATAAAACCCTTATAAATCATCTTGAAGTCTTTCCACCATAAAATTGTCATTTCTCGAAATATTCACCGAAGACCCCATAACTAGGGTTTGGGGTCGGTAATTCCCGTCCCGGGTATTCCCGATTTTTTTGACATCGACATTCCCGTGATTTCCCGATAGTATTTCCCGGCAAAACGGGAAATTGTATTTCTAAATAAATATTAATACGGAATTAAAAATTTCAATGCTTAAGGCATAAACCGAATAAATCCGTTGATCTATCCTTCGTATTATTTGTTATCGATAATACAACAACTACAAGGGGATATATTAATGTGTGTATAAGTGTAAGATGCTCATTTTAAAACCGATTTATATAATAGATAGGTTCGAAATTCGGAAAATGATTGAAGAAAAACTGCTGGAATTATGTTGCACTATGTCGCGAGTTCATATAAACAGCGGCAAAAATAGAAGGAGTTATCGTAAGTTAATGAAATTTGGTACATGTGCTTATTATTGACCTAAAGAGCAACTGACGAAAAATTGAATAGATCGGACCATGATTTGGTATGCCTCCCATATAATGGTCATCTAGTATTAATGAAGATACTCCAAAGGTATACATATGTTGTTAATGTGTACAAATAGTTTTTAATACAATGTTTTGCCAAAAACATACTAAAATACTTTTATTTGAACATGAATTCATAATTATTTATTTTTAAGTGTTATTGTACAATGACCTCAATTTTTTATAATTCTA